GCGCACATGCGTTTGTCTCTTTTCGCCTTATCATACATGAGCATGTGGCCTAGCCGCCTGGTTGCTGCATGGTGGGTTCGTTTTTCTGTCAAACCGGATGACTAAGTTACCTGACTGCCGCCAAGCAACAGAATGGCCAGACGCACACTTGCGCTGCCTGCCAGCTGTCTATCTTCTGTCTGCTCATCCTTTCAATCACTCAGGCCTCTAAATACACTCTATCGGAGCCACTTATCCCCCTTTTTCTTTTCTTCCCCTCCATGCGCTCACACGAAGCGGCCACTTGCTTGTGTTGACGGCCGTATGCATCTACCGTTTTGTCAAGTTAGATATTTCAGCCAACTTTTCACTTTCTCTTCTAAACCCACTTTGTCTGGAACCTCACATATCGAATTTAACACATCGGCTTTTATGATTGCCGGCCACTTGAGCCGGTTTGGTATGTTTGTGCATGCCTGTCTGTTTGCACACATGTGTGCCTCAGTACGCACATGCTCGAATTTATTTAACCGTGTGCATATATGCGTATGTGTGTGTGTGTGTGTGTGTGTGTGTAAACTATGAGTTGCTGTATTTCTTGTGCTCAATTCTTTTGGCGTATAGGTTTTCCAAGGTTCTCTTGAGCTCTTTTTTCTGCTCCTTGCTAGGACCGACAGGAAGTAGGATATTTAGCATTTGTTGGTGGTGACATCTGGCACTATTAAATTCTCCACTTCGCCTGTTATCTAGTCCGCATAGTAGGATTCTTGACTGTTTAATTTTGCCGTCCCAACTGCACTTGAACACATACGAGAGCTAGCAAAAACACACATTCACATGGAGCAGCAGTCGTGTGTGCACAAACCAGAATCGAGGTTCACTGTAGCACACTTTGTGTCAAGTTCCGCCTATTTAGGCCCTACACCCGATTGGGGACTTGTGTCTTCTGCGGGTGAACGGCCTGCTGACCTCTGCCGGAGGCCCAACTTTATCATGTGTGTCCGTCGCTTCGGTATGATGCAAGCTGCGGCTTACTAAATCCAACAATACGTT